TTGCTTTAAGTATCAATTGGATACTTATTTATCAATCAACTACTAAACCTGTCAGTAATTTATAATGGATAACATTTATTGGAGCACCTGCTTTAGACAGGCACTGCCTGACACAAGTGATAATAAAGCCCTATTTCTGTGGCCCAGTATAGAGCTCTCAAACATCACTGTGAGCATGATTAACTGGGAAGCCTGTTATAGTGAAAATTTCTGGATTGACCTGTTAGAGATTCTGATTCATGTAAGGGTGGTTAAGGCCAGAGAATTTCCATTTTTCAACAATTCTTTACCTTTTGACACAGACAACTAAAAATTTGTATTTTGAGAAAATTGCTGTATGGATAGGCAAATACATAAATTACCATATATACTATAATAAGATTTATTAAATGGAACATAAATAATATACTTTTGAGAATTGAATAAATAATGATAGTACATACTATCAGGTATAATAAAAATTCATGTGCAATGTTTTAAGAAGACAGATGATACAATAATGACTTTGCCATTGAAAAATATAGATATGTTGGACATAAGTATATGTTGGACAAATATGTTGGACACTGTGATATTTCAGTTGAGTCTTTAAAAATTAATAACAAAAGTTAAGGGAGTTGGAAAATGGCTTTCTGGACAGAAGTGATGGCTGGAAATAAAGTGCCAAAATTTTGTATTCCGAACTGATGCCAGTATAGAAAAGAATTCCAGTTTCTGAAAGATTTTAATATTTGTCACTTTAAAGTTCAACAAGCATAAAATCATTAGGATTTTAATAGTAAATCCATTGAGCCTCCCCATCTCCAGGGAAAACATATCTAATTACCCACTCATCCTGTTTATGTAAATAGCAACATAGTTCCTTGATTAGGCCAAAAATCTGGGGGTCAGCTTAACTCACATTCAGGACAACCTACTCATTTTTAGATCCTGATGATTTTGGCTCCAAAATTCAGCCCAAACCTAATAACCACTTTTATGTTTATCATTCAAGATGAGCATAAACCAGTTGTCACAGTCTCTCACTTTTCTTCCGATTTCAATTTTTCATTCCTAAACCATGTTGCTATGAGTAATTTCCATCAAATTTTACTGTTCATAGTAAGTAAATTATTTACATTTATTTATGATCTTAATATTATTTATATTTTAGTTTACAGGGAATGAATTACACTTCTCATAAATTTAAACTATGAATTACGTCATTTTATTTTCTGCCTAAAGTCCTCTAATAACATCCCATAAAAGGTATAAAAACTATAGATATATATTCTATCCCATGCATCAAACAACAATAGCTGAGTTGTTTACTCATCTTTCTTAACTGTTGCTTCTTCCATAGTGCAGGCATACTGACTGCTGTCTGTTTTTAAGTAGGTTATACTCTTAATTCTTAGCCTTAGAATATGCTCTTTATTGGGATACATGGTGCTCAGCAAACTGATTTTATCTTCAGACCTTTTTTATACGACTGGTTCTCTCCACTATCTTTATTGTAGATATCCCTTTGAAGGATCTTTTAGACCACCCTATGTAATACAACACTCCTGAGATATTATCTTTCTCACTGTCTAACAGTAGCTTGTTTATTTTGTACTATTAGAAAGAAAGTGCCTGTCTAATTCATTGTTGTATTATGACAGAACAGAGGCTACTATATGATAATTTCTCAGCAAGTATTTCTCAGTGAATGATGTAGGATAGACTGTATGTTACTTTGGAGAACAACTGGAGGGTAGGGATAATGTTTCATTTATTTTTGAATATCCTATCATGACACCGTGTTTGGGAATTTCAAGAGATAATGATTTTTACAATTGAATTGTATTGAGTATTAAATCACAAGTTTCCAAAATTGGAGGATGTTTAAAGGATTATTGTGTCCAGTTATTTAATGTTGCCAAGTGAAATATGAGTGGTCATAAGTTGATTTCAGTTTCATTGAAATGAGTCAATAATGCACCTAGTTACCTAGTTAGTGTTTTTATTTTCACGCAACCATTTCACTCTGTAAAATTTTGTTCCACATTTCTAGAATACTGATACAAATATGTTTATCTCAGTACTTCACACAATGGAACAAGAATGTTAATAGGCAAATGCCATGAAATTTCTTCAGGATCAATGTATGATATCCTTTCAGAAGAAGATTCTTTGTTACTAAAACACTGTCTCAAAAGAATGTTACTATAATTATATTTCTCCAAATTTTATTAATATTTTGAGCCCTTAATATCACTATTTTTCTTTCCAGTGATTACATGGGTTAGGTAGTAATCACAGAGCATGCACTTATAAATACACTTATAAATCCTGCAGGTAATGCTATTTAATTAATTGTAGGTAATATTAATTCTATACTCTCTCTTTTTCTTTATAATCTTTCTTTAAAAAACAAGCACTACAATGAAAAACTTATTTTGTTGTATTTTAACTGGTGTCAGTTCAAATCATTTTAAAGTTTATACTACCACGATGGAAAAAATTATTCCAAAAGTAATTTCTTATGTTTATAATCTGCAGACTAGACTGTGTTGTATTCATCAGTTTTATTGTTAATATATCAAATCTTCACTTTAGCTATAATATAAATAAGCTTGCTGATTACTAGAGAGAATGATATGCTTGTCTAAATGAACAATAAATAAAACCAGGGACTAAATAGGCTCTTTCTTTATCTCTTTTTATGTTTTGTTTATATTAAATTATACTTGAGTGTATTTCCTTTAAGAAGCATGCTCTGTCTGTCTGCTGTATGTTAAGCATAAGTCTGACCTATCCTCTGTGTATTTTTTCTCTCAGTTGGGATGAATTGGCTTCTACTACTGTGGAAACAAGATGTTACTGTGAGAATTCATCAAGAGTTATACTCTCCTGAGTTTTCTGAAGGAGATCTAAGTTATTTTAAATTTCTCCACTTTATATTTTTCTGTTGTGGCAGAAGTTTAGTTTTGATTAATAATATCTTCTTTTGTTTGCCTTATTTTAACATGTTCTAAGTTCCTTTAAATGTTACCCTAGGTGAGATGTATCATAATACAGCATTATGGTTTGTATCTAGATGTCCCCCAAAGCCTCATAAGTGGGTCATAGGTGACTGGATTGACAGTGTGTGATGCAGGGATTAAGGGTGTGATTCTGGAATTAAAACTGTTCCACTCAGGGTGTGAGTGCTACTTGATCTAAGGATAGGTAAACTGGATAAAATATAAGAAACAGAAAGAGGATTGTTGTCATTACTGTCCTGCCTTGTTGCTTTCCTGCCTTCTGTTCACCATGAGCTGTTTCTCCTCTGTGATGCCCCTCTGCCATGCCACCCTGCCTTGGAGCTAGCTAACTATAAACTGAAACCTCGACAATTTGTGACGTGAAACAGACCTTTCCTTCTTTAACATTAGGTGTTGGGTGCTTTGGCTCAGCAATGAGGAAAAGTAACGGGCATACAGAACTCAGAGTGCAGTGTCCACTGTGGATCAGGTACTTTTGAATTTTACCCACTGTCTGGGTATCCTGCTGCTCCTCCACTGCAGCTTCATTTTGGAGGAGAGAAGGCTTACTCTTCCTGACAGGCACAAATAAAATACTGATCCTTTGAATATTACAGATGAAAGAGGAAACTATTTCTAAATTCTAGTTATCAAACTGATTCTTAAGGATAGATATATAATAACATATAGGCATACTTTTCTCTGTTATTTTCCTACAGCATTGTTTCAAAGCTTAAAGGAACACAAAAGGGTCAGAATCTAATTTTATTTATAATTTCTTTCCAACAAAAATATTTCAAAATTTGATTTCTGCAAAAATTATTAAAATTGGTGTCCTTCAGGACTTAAAAATTGTATATTGCTTTATGGGGTGTTTATTACATTTGAAGGAAAACTGTTTATTTTAGTTTCTTTAGGAAAACACATATTTAGTAGTCCATGAATATTTAATATAGGAAAACTGCCTGTAGCCATTGCTTTGAAACTTACATTTTCCTCTGAGTCAATAGAATGGCTATAATATTATATATGAGCTTATTATATTTATAAAATCATAATTTTATGAGAATTGTGACTCTTTAAAAGAATCCAATGTTCTATATAAAGCCAATTTGCATTTAAAAGACTATATTTTAATTTAAATATTTTATATAAATTATGATTTTTAGTATATTCAAAAGTATGAGTGTGACCTGAAATTTTACATTTGTTCCTTCAGATTTACATTGATCTTTAAAAAAAATCACTTATAATAAATATAAAATTATAAATTAGTTTTGTGGGGGATTTGAAAAACTTCTGTTTTTATCATGAAAAACAACCTTACATGTTGAAGAGACCAATTGATCTGAACTTGAAACACATCAAGACAAAGTAAAGACTGAGCTAGTACCAAGTAATAACCTGTATCAACAGTGTAAGTACACAGTAATAACCTGACTTAGAGCTGAGCTCCTGAAACTTTTATGCTAAGACATTAGTGTAAGACAGTAGAAAATAAACTCAGACTTGTGAAAATTGTACATGTGATCTCAGTCTCTTTAGAGCTTGTGTTTTTCTAAAAAGGCACACAGATTTTGTAAACTAGCATAATCCTTCTTCATAAAAATAAATTGCATATCACCAAGTAACTTGGTTCACTAGTAAGTGTTACAGTGTATATTTTATGACTTTTATTTTTCTTTCAAGGTAAAGTGAGGCACTCATCAGGAATTCAAGGAACATCATGGCATTTGGCCTTGGGATAGATTATAACACAGAGGGTTGTACTTAGCTGAAGTTTCCTTGTTTCACAGATTTTTGATTTACTGAATATTAAAATTAATTTGCCTTTTTCTGAATGCAAAAAATAGGGGAAATTAGTCAGAAATATTCTTTATGTCATTGGGAAAGGAATCTGAGATTAACAAATTATGGCTACCTAGAAAAGATGACAAATTGATTTTTCCATAAACATTTTTGCCTTAATTTCACTGGTCTGTGTTTAGGATTTTGGGATTTTGCATTGTTAAGTGATCACTTGTGATTTTAATGCAGTTTACTTGATTTTTTCCTTTTTTGTTTTAGGCCAGAAATCACATAGATCAACAGCAAACTTACCACTTTCCAACAGTAGTGAAAAGAGCTCCAGCTGCCTTTTGTCCTCTCATCCTCAATCAAGAAATGCAGCTGCTCAGTCATTATCTGGATCTGCTTTTGAAATTTCAGAAACTGAATACATTGATAAAATTGGTGACAATGTGCTTTTCTTAGACAACATTTCTGATCACCAATTCTTAGATGGTTCAGAAAAAGAATTAAATATACTTATAAATCCTGCAGGTAATGCTATTTAATTAATTGTAGGTAATATTAATTCTATACTCTCTCTTTTTCTTTATAATCTTTCTTTAAAAAAACAAGCACTACAATGAAAAAGACTTCTTTTCTTAGTCTAAGCTATCATAGCCTATATAACACACACCAGAACTGTGGCATAAGGAGTTTCAAGTGAGCAGGAAAAGAACAAACAACAACCACAAAACAAACCCTTTTTTCCTTTCTACAAAATCAGTGAAAGGTTAATCTTTGTAGCTTTACAAAAGCTAATGCTCATCATCCTTGTTAGGAAATTAAACAGGTAGATCACCTAACGCAATGCTTTTTAAATATTATTACATGCACAGATTCCCTGGGAGTTTGTTAAAGGCAAGTTCTGACTCAGTGTCTGGGTTGGGGTCTGAGATCATGCACATCTAAGAAGTATCAGGTGTAACAGTGGATCTACTCTATTTCGAATCTTAAAAACATATTTTGCCAAACAGTGACAATACCCTTGAACACTAAAAGATCTGGTTCAATAACAAAACATCAAGGGACATACTCCTCTTATTATCATTAGAAAGTCATTCACTTCACTTTGAAAGCAACCAACCGCAGATCTGAGAAGCAGGCTAGAAAATTCACTAGTTCTATGCATTTCAAACTCAGTCTTCTCTTTATTTTTGCTAGTAGTGTTCTCATCAATGTTTTCAGTAGTTTAAACATTTTGAAAATTTTAAGAAATAAAAATACAAAGTATCAACCCCTCAAATCTTAATATTACTATTAAACTTTATTTTATTTTTAATTTTTGGTACCGGGGATGGAACTCATGACCACGTGCTTGCAAGGCAGTCACTTAGGCCACTGAGCTAAATTGCCAGCCCTCGTTAAACTTTATTTTTAGTGAGCTTCACTTGAGGTTTTGAACGTCTGTTTGTATCATAAGTAAGAACATAAAAATAATTGAAAGGATGAGTAGATTGAAGGAAAAGGCAATGACTTTATAAAATAGACTTATACCCTTCCGTATGACCCTTTTAAACTTATATAGACAGATATCCCAAAGTTAACAAAAATTGAAATGAAACTAAAGGAAATTATATATTTTAGATAATTTTTCACCATAAAATATTACCAAACTGAACTCTATGAAATCACACTTCTGTAGACCAAAACTGTGTACTCTTCATTTTTGTGTGGTTTAACCTAATTTTTATAACTATTTTTTAAAAATCAAGGAAAAAACATGAAAGTAAATGGCAATCCTTTGAAGCCATTTGTAATTATATACTTTAGGTTTTTCACAGTAAAAAATCTATTTAAGAAAATATGTTCATATTTTTAAACCATGTGCCAATCTGGATAGTATTGAAGACACACTGTGATAATTAGGGTTTATCATTTTGTCAAGATTTCTTTCATTTCATGTGCATGTGTGTGTGTGTGTGTGTGTGAACACATATGTAATTAATGTTCAGTATTGACATTTTCCTCATGACTGTCCTATCTTGAGCCTTTTATTTTATTTCTCTATAGAAAGTTTCATTATGTAATTCTTGATAATGTCTGCCTTTTCTGTCTATGATTGATTGACACATTAGCTAGATTTACTTGACAATTTCCTTTTCTTTGTATTTAGAACACATAATCCCTTCTGGCCCTCAATATGGTATTAGCTACTCTTTTATAGCTGTTCTATTTTGATTTGGTTGAATATAATTGTCAAATAGTTTTTACCTATAGGGAGTAGGTCTGCAACCTGTGCTCTTTCATGTTTGAAAGTGCCCACTACCTTTATATTTGAATTACAAGTGGTCTGAGAGCAGTATCTTTGTGTCCTTTGAAACCATGTGATACTGATTTGCCATCTCCTAGCTCTGAATTTATTATGAAGTAGTCTGAAGCTATGGTAATTTTTTTACCACATTCTCATATATGACAGGTTTATTTCCTACTTGAATGTTTGAAAAAAAAATTTAATCCTTGGAATTCATTAACTGACAAAAGATTGAATTACAGTGTCAATAATTCAGCATTTAAAAGTATTTTGGATTTATTTTTCTACATATAGAATAAATTTCTCTTTGTTTTCAGGAAACTTGTACTTACTTTGGCAGCATATATACTAAAATAATTTCAGGAAAATACTTTGCTTTTGTGTATTTGAATTGTTTGTTCCTAGGGCTTTCTCCTGTTAAGAAATTTATTTCCTTTGGGTGGCATCCTCATGAAATAATATATTTTTCTTGGTTGTTTGAATCAGTTTTCATTTACCTTTGTGTTTATAAAATTAATTAGTGTGTCATATATGCAATGATTTTATTTTTCATTCTTGTATACTCTGATTTTTAAAACATATTTCTTAAAATATGTTGCTTTAATTTTTTGTTTCATACTTTTGGGGTAGCCTTTTATTTTAATATCAAACTCTCAGAAATTTTGTACAATACCAGAGTAGCACAACAAAATCCTTTATATATGTACACAATTTAACTCAGAGCACTTTTTCTTCTGAACAATTTTTTAAAAATACTACCATATGAACTTTCTTTCTTTCTTCTTTCTTTATTTTGATACTGGGGATTGAAATCATTACCTAGCACTTAGCCAGGCAGGCACTTATGCTGTTGAGCTAAACCCCCTGCCACACTTTACATGAGTATTTTTCTATTTTTTGTTTTTGGTACTGGGGATCGAACTTGTGACCTCGTGTTTGCCAGACAGGTACTTACATTGCTGAGCTAAATCCCCAGCCTCTTCTGAAAGCTGCTTATTTATGAGGAAGTAACAAAAATTTTGACTCTATTAATGTATACCTCTGTGTGTAATTCCCCAAAGAATATCTTTTACATAACCTTAATGCAATGATCAAAATCAGTAAAATTAGCATTGATACAATATGATTCTCCATTCCACAGGCATATCTAATCTTTTGAAAATTATTCTGATGTTATTTGCAACAGTTATTTTTTCTCTTTCAAGATCTAATCCTATAATAGATGAGTATCTCATAATTTCCCTTTGATCTTTGACATGCTATTTCTTCAGATTAGTTTCACTCAATTAAAATTTATTTATTTTAAAGAGAATAAAATAAAACAAAATAGAACAAAGCAAATCAGAACATAATAATGCAAGCAACGCAGGACTTCACAAGACAATAGTACATCAACAGTAGCTACCACAATGTTTCTTTTTTCTTCAAAATAGTTGACCATATCTTCACTCACAATAATATCAAACATAATGAATAGTATAAAACCATTCAAAAGAATGAAAGCATTACAGGACTTCAAAACTCGAAAACAATAAATGAACAATGGCTACTGTAATATTTCATTTTCCTCAAAAATGTAGTCCATACCATCACACATAATAAAATCAAATAAAACACAACAGGATAGAACCAATCAAAATAGAACAAAAGCATGATAGGACTTCAAAGTAAGATGATAGGAAATCAGCAATAGCTACTATAATGTCTCATTTTCTTCAAAATAGCTCTTCATACCATCACATATAATAAAATCAAATAAAACAAACAAATGAATGAAAGCATTATAAGACTTCAAAGCAATATAAGAGGAAACCAAGATTACCATACTATCTCCCATTATGTTCAAAATAGCTGCTCTATCATCAGACAGAGTAAAATCTAATGAAACGAGACAGAACAAAGCCACACCTAACAAAATTGTGAAAACAATAAAAGAGTTCAAGACAAGACAATAAGAAATTAACAGTAGTTTTCACCTTTCCTTTCCAGGTGTTTCCTCCCCTTTCACTCTTATAATAACTATTTTGCTTTTGGATCCCACTAATTCCTTCTGTATTTTAAGCTAGGGTTCATGTGTATGGGTTCAAATTATTTTTCCCATGAACATGATCTCCAGTTGCATTCATTTTCCTACAAGAACCTCAAGATTATTCTACTTTATAGCTGCATAGCTTTCCACTGCACGGAAATACCATATCTTTCTTATCCATTATGTGATTGATAGGCAAATTACTCTTGTAGTTTCACTCAGTAATAAAATTGATTTCAATAAACTTCTTTTGTAGCCAAAAGAGTTTTGAGGAATTTTCTGACTGTCCTGATATATGTTTTCTATCAGATTATTCTTTTATTTCACCATCTTTTGAATCCTAAGAATTCTTGCATTCTAGTTTGTTGGCATACCAGTTGCTGTGTCATTTCTTTGTATCTTACTTGTCCATGCTTATTGTGAGTGGCTTAGTTAATATGCTCTGCCCTTTCTAGTAACAGTAAGACTAATCCCTACCAATTCTCTTCTCATGTAGTTACCATCTGCAATTCTATTCTTTCTGTATCCTGGGGTCTCAAAGGTAGGAGGAAGTTCACAGGACTGGGATATCAGTATCTTCTTGATATATCCAAACTTCTTTTTCTTTTCTTAGAATTATTAATTCTAAGAAAAGTAATAATTAAATTTTGAGCCTCATTTGACATGACTTCATGTGCAATCTTTAACACCTGGAACCTCCACCAACACCTGCAAATTTGTAATCTTGATTCTGCTAAGATTAATTGGTTGGTGTTTAGAGGCTTTAAAAAGATTTCAAACATGTTCCTCTCACTCCTGTTCACTTACTTTTATCCAAAGTGAGGTGAAATTGGTGAGCCTTGTCAGATTTTGGTGACTCTCTCTTTTTCTAAATCCACCTAATTGCTTGTGTATTAGCTTGAGAGATAAAGTAGGCAAACGAGGAGTTATACAATATTCTAGTTTAAGGGGTTCACTTTATATTTGAAATGTAAATTCTCAGGACATTAACACATCTTTAAAAATCAGTATGATTAAGGTGCCCTGATACCTGTGCCCTTATTTATTTAATTATGTGTTTGTTTGTTTGTCTGTTCAATTTTTTTTCAATGCTATGGTTAGAATCTGGCTCCTCTCTCATTCTAAGAAACAGTTTATCATTTATCTACATTCACAATGTCCCATGCCCTAATCTCACATCAAGTTTACCTCACACTCCAGCATCAAACTAGAAAGTTAATTAAAAAGTTAAGGAATAATTAAAAATCTGTTTTGATCCTTTTTGCATTCCTAGTTTATTCTGGGTAAGCTTCTAGCACCACAAGTTGTGCATTTGTTTCTTGAATTTATGTGTTGACAATGCATTCAATAAAATATTTCAGATCCTACAGAAAAAGTTTGCAACCCAAACACAGAAGAGTTACCAGCTTTCAACAACAATTCCCTCAACAGAAGTCAGATATCTTCAGATTTCTTCAATACCTCAAATGTGAAGAGCCTCTGTGAAGTTGAAGAATTAAGGTAAATTAAGTATGCAGTTTATACATAAAGATAGTGCATAGTAAAGTTTGAACAAGTTCCAATTAGTTATTTTACTATATAAAGAATAATTGCCCTAATGTGTGTAATTTAAGAGACCATTCTTTATAAAATATTTGGGTTTTTTGCAGACCTAAAACCAGGATTTAGTAAACAGCTTATAGAGTTATTATTTTAATGTGAAGAGATAGCTCTCTACTGAAAAATACATGTCATAAAAATGAAATTACATCTGGAATTTAATAATTTTCTATATTTTTATGTAAAAAACCCAATTGTGTTACTTGAATTAATACAATAAATTTCAATATTTTACAATAATAAAATCTTACCCAATGTAAAGTTTTTAGAAAAGAATATTGAGTTTCTTTTCCTTAAAATGGAACCTACATTATTAACATTACTTAAATATGTATTGCTTCATTATTTCCTCATGTAAAATAATGACATGGTAGTGATCAGTTTATAAGGAATGCAAGTTATGCTAATAAGTACTTTAGTAATATATCATGTTGTCTACTTCCGACCTGCAAGATATTTGGAGAGTGAAGTTATGTCTTTTTAGAGACAAAGATTAGCTGTAAAATGTAAGCCCTTTGAATTATAGTTTCCTTTGATTAATTTCAAGCTTGGTATTGCAATAAAAGAGAATCAGAGTGTTACTTTGTCTTTCTGAAGGAGGAAATCATTTAGCCATGGTTCTTGGACTTTTGAATTTCTAATACCATACACAGTATTTTTTTAATAAAAACCTACCTTTCTAGAAAAAGATAAAACAGGATTAAGACAATTCCTGTTTGTGTGCTAAAAGCTCAAGTTTTCTGTTCCCTTGGGACAGAAACTTGGATGCAAAGTGCTGTATTTTGTACAGAAGCTTGCATGCAAGGTAAGTTTCAGTGACCCATATCAGTTACACAGTAAAACTAGACCCCACAATGAAACCCCCCCCCAGAATGCAAAGAAAACTCAAATTCCTTAGCATTGTGTAAATAAATCTGAATGTGTTTTTTAAAAAGGTATTAAAACAAACTACACCTAGATGTACTCCCACTATCATGCCATACAAAAAAGGGTATTAAAAGCTAAAAATGTAAGGGGTATATACTAACAGAACAAAATACAATGTGTTGACAAAAAAGTCACTGTGTTTTCCTTCTTTTGTTTTCGTGGATGCCTGAAAATTGTCATAGTTACACTTGCTCTACTCCACAGACCAGAGCGTATTAACTGTTGGGTTAGTTTGTTTTGGACTTGAAAAAATAATCCTAATCAAGTTAAATTCATTTCTACATGAAGGATTTCAAATTTAATTGCATACATGGGCTAGAAATCTGGACAACTTTGAAATCTGAATGGTGTAGGCACCTCCCTGTTGCCCCACACTACCTGGGCTCCTAGACCTCAGTTGCCTGTGTGCTGGAGCACCTGCCCTCCATAAAATACAACAGAATAAAATAACAAATAATTGCTGTCATTAATTTTAGTTTGACGTACCTTGACTGACTATTCTCATAGTCCTGATTTATTGTACACAAAAGAGATGATTTATTTGGCAGTCTATTCATTGGGATCCTGTTAAACAGTCAATATGTGATGAATGTCCTTAATGATGACCTCGAGGCTCTGCAAGTTGCTCAAGTTCCTTTTGAGTCATCATGAAAAGGACTAACCAGAGGCCATAAAATCTCTCTTTGCATCCATTGTGGCCTTATTCCTTGGGAGAAGGAGAATGCTGAGAAATTCTCTTTAAAATGAAGCTTAGTATATTGGATGCATTGATAATTATGGCCTCAGTCTGATACAGCCCCATCACATTTGCCTGATTTCAAGTACTTCAACATATGTAGTACTGATCAGAAAATAAATGAAAGCTGAAACTGGGTTCTGCATATTGTGTATTGATCTCTTCATGTATTTCCAGCTCTTCTAGAAAAGATACCAAAATGCAATCTTTGCTGTCACTTTCTGAGAGCAGTATGGATGATGAAACAGAAGATTTTCTTGACAAACTACTTGTCATCACACTATCACGGTCAAAGAGTATTTAGAGACCACTTGTTAATTATTTTTCCATTTTGTACTCAGAGTAAAGCAAACAACAGAAAATTGTTGCTGATTACCTTTCCAGGCACTGGAGATTTTGATTATTAATGTCTCTGATATTTCAAGGCTTGCAAACAAATAAAAAAAGTGAAATTGTAACTTCAAGGACTTTTCTCTTAAGTGGCATATTGCATTTCAAATACTAATATATATTTCATTTTACTTTAGCAAAATTTGATAAATTCTATAAAATCTATATGAAGGAATACGATTATATTTAAAGTCATATTTCACTGTTCAACTATGTTTCAAGAAATTTTCATTGAGAAGAGTATATATTTGATGCCCACTCAGAGTAGTCAAAATCATAAATTGAGCCTGTATTTCAGTGATTTTTTTCCATTAGGTCTACTAAAATATTTATAGTACGTCCATAAACTTCCAAAACTGATTCTAGGAGAAAAAAAAGAAGACTAAAGTAAGTTGGACACAATACCTGCTATGCTCTGTTCTAGGAGTGACAGAAAAGCACTCCAGAACATATTATTTTGAAAAGATTGATGCGATGGTTGCCTCCATCCCTCTTTCCAGGCTCTCCCTCCCTTCTACACACACACACACACACACACACACACACACACACACACACACATACACATACACACATCCTGTTGATTCTGTTTCTCAGAAGAACCCTCATACTGATAGTTGGAAGAATTGTTGACTATACTCAGGCAATAATCCAGTGGAAGTTTTTTGCAGTTGATAAGTGGTAAATCCTAGGTCCTACTCAAGTATTTGTATAATGTCATAATTCAAGACTTTAAGAAAGGGCAGACATGAGGGATAGTGTCTTGGTTTTCACATTGTGACATTTTAGGTTAGATCTCTTTTAGAAGTTTGGTGATTTATTACAAAAAATATTCTGAAGGTTAGGTATACTTTCGCTATGATATAGCCATGCCTCAGAGTTTGAACTTGTCGTCTCTATGTATCTGAGAAGAAACCCCTTAAACAAGACTTATGGTTGTTCTGTATAAATTAATCTTTAATAATTTTCCATGATCTCAATAAATTATCTTACAATTTTCTCATATATCTGATTGGATGTAAAATGATAAAGAGACATATAGCTATTTCTGTGTTTTCAATATAAAAATGTCATTCATTGAAAATGAATAATACATAGAGAAAATAAATCAGTCAGATTATCAAAGCAAATCTTCCAAAATGAATGTGAATCCTTAATAGTAATTTTTACTTTGTTCATCACTTTTTGTCTTCCAGTTCCACAGACATATTTTTCTTGTTTTTTTGACTTCATCTTGTAATAATGTAAGAATTTACCTAGCTTTTGTGTATAACCTATATACAAATGTGTATAAATTATTTATTATAAAGATTTTATACTTGTTGCATTCAAATTTATACATTGCAGATTCAGATACATGCACATAATTTTTGGACATAATGATCACAAACATAGTACTAGGGTATATTGCAGTTGTTGATAAATGTAACAAATAATAAAAACTACCTTTAGCTTTTTAAATTTTAATACAGTTGTACTTAATAATGCAACATCAGTAAAATATTTGTTATACAACACTTCTCTTTCTTGACTCTGTATTTTACCATAGCTTGATAGTACACTTTGTCTTGATCATAAACTGCATTATATTCAGTTGAAGACACTAGAAACAAAGAAAAACTCGACATCCACCTCCCCATTCCAGCTGCACCAAGGTCCTAACTGAATCCCAGCCTTCCTAATACTAATGAACAGATTTTCATATCAATTTTTCCTGATATAGATATACTATTTTTCTTATTTCAGCTAGGCCTTGGAAACTGGGATCCATATTTTTATCAGGCCATTCTTTAATTTATTTGTGAAAAAGCCCAAAATAGTACATTAAACAATGTAAGCACACCTTAAAACTCAGCTTCAATAAAAATATGTAAATTCTTATAACCACAGAGAAATTACATAATCTCCCTCAACTGTAAAATGGTATATAATATATTGTAAAAATATGTTCCTGATTTCCAACAAATAATGCATGAAAAGTTTCTAGTTTTTGGCTAACAGTTTAACACAATTTTTTATTTTTTATTTCACATCTATGCCAAGCAAGGTTTAGGACTGGCAAATCAGATATAAAGAAAAGTACATCTCTTCAAATAGAAGATTCTCTTCAAATATACAAATATAATTCCACAAACACACACAAAATGTCATGAAACAGAAGTGGAAGAGCAGTAACTACAGAACACAGGAGATAATTGCTAAGACGAATATTATTATCACTGGTAGTAATGATAACTAAATTTGATTTTGCTTTACTTTTCTATACATTAACCCTAAGAAGAGCACTCTTATCTGCATAATATTTAATGCAGTTATTGCAAGTAAAACTCAACACTAATGAGAATCCTCTTTCAGAGATATCAAAAACCTCCCTTATATCATGGAAAGAAGAGGTACTGAAAAGTGTTTTTAAAAGTAAATTGACTGATACTGCCCAATGTAACTGAAATTTTTCATTGTTTTTAATCTATAGAAAGATTTAAGCAGACATCCAGAGTTCACCATCATAGGGCAACAGAAGCACATTTGCAACTCTCATTTATGAAAAAGACAAAAATCAAAACATGACCTTTCCACATTTCAGTTGGTGTAAAATAAGTACAATTATCTGTATATGTCTATGGGAAATGCAGCTGTGATCCTTTGCTGTTATGCTCTGTGAGCTTTCAGAAAGCTCTGATAGTAAGATTCAGTCAACAAGGGACCTCTCCTGAAGTGACAGAGATTTGTTTGCTTCTTCTAAGAGGCAAACTAACAGAACTATCCTGTGCCTCTAATCAGGCTGCCCAAATCCACCAAGTCTTTTTTCTACCAAACAACATAATGCAGGTTCATTTAAGTGACAGACATTTTCATTTTATTTTACAAGTGATTACAGTGCAAGCATTTGTAAGTACAGGAAGACAGACAACATGAAATAAAACAAGATACATTGAGAAGTTTCCCAGTGCCTAAAATATAGGGAGCTCTGAAATCCAGTTGGTAACATTCTGATTACTGTCTTTCTCTATATTATCATGATTGTCTTTCTAGTCTTTTTAGCACACTTTGAAAACACTGCAGGAGGATGCGTTTTCTGGTGTTATGGTTGAGCACCATCAATTTAAATAGAAACAGTGCATAGAAAACCAATTTGAAATAATTCTCCTTTCCCCACTGTAGCCGTGATTATAAAATTTTCATTACTTATGACTTATATTTTTCATATTTTACCCTCATAATTGATTATCAAAATATTACATCTTTCCTCAGTATAAGGGAACAATTTTAAGGGTCCGTCTCATGTCAGTGAAGTCCCTGTGTACTTACTAAGTGATGGTTTTCTCTACTGGGTGACAGTAAGAAGAGCAGACATAAAGACCCACCTGTATCTGCTTCTCAGTGAAGACTCAGTCTCTGTCCTCAGGCTTGAAATTAATAGACTCACATACAGCTTTTTGATAGACAGCAATAGAGCCAGAGACACAGGTGTGGGGTTCACTGGACTGGAGTTAACAAAGGGCTGGAGCACAAGCTGACTATGGAATGCTCTATGATCTTGGAGACCCAATGCACAGAACACATAATTAGCCAAATTTCTCCATGTCATCCCTGTCTCTAAGGGCTTCCAAACATTAGCCAAAAAAGGACATTAAAGGAATATGAGTCCACAAGTGGTTTTGGTTTTTTCATCTACCTGACTAAAACTAGCTTGTTCCAATCACTATGTCATTTCCACACAATTTTTAAATAGTGATTTACTTTTACTTCATATTTGAAGTAAAATATATACAAATGAATGACATTTTAATCATGACAAATGTACTCTTTAATGACTTTAATATTGTTGTGTGTGTCAACATCATTTAGCTTTGGGAACTTTTCATTCTACAAACCCAAAATTTATATTCAACTTTGTTTACTTTTCATCCTCCCAGAATTACACTACAAAATTAAAACCATGAAGTTGTAACCCTACTATAACCAAAAAGGCTAGAAATGCAGAGATTTCACTATTCTTTTACGTCTCCCCAGTTTACTTATATTTACTTTGTCACTCAGTTTGTAAAGAGATTCAACACAGGTGTGACCATAGTATATATCTCTGTGCTGCCACAATGTAAAGATTACTTCCTTTGTTTGATGGATCTCTAAGTATTTCAATTTTTGGTGTTACTATGAAAGGGATTGATTCCGTAATTTCTTTCTCAGTGAATCTGTTGTGTACAAGAATGATGTTGACTTCTAAGTGTTGGCTTTTACCAGCTACTTTACTGATATGTTTATTAAATCTAGAAGTCTTTTGGTGAAATTTTTAGGGTCTTCTGTATAAAGAATCACATCATCTTCAAATAATGATAATTTAACTTTTTCCTTTCCTATCCTTATTCACTTTATTTCTCATATCTCGATGCTATGGCCAGTCTGTAGAATATATTGAATGGGAGTGGTGATAGTGGACATACTTGACTTTTTCCTGATTTTACAGTGAACACTTTCAGCTATTGACCATATAATATGATGTTTGCTGTTTGTTTGTCATAAATGATTTTTATCAGATTGAGACACTGGATTGACCATCCAATGGGATGGTTCAAGATGTGCAAACATTTAAATGTAATATAACATATAAATAGAGCAAAGGACAAAAATCAAATGGCCATCTCAATAGATGCAGAAAAATATTTGACGAAGTCTAATACCCATTCATGATTAAAAACAACCTTACAGAACTTTGGAAATAGATGGTCAATCCAATGGGATTATTTGAATTCCCTTACATTTACTTAAACATATCTTATGGGCTAATATATGGTCTATTTTGGAGAGTATCCCATGTGCAGCTGTGAAGAATGTGTACTCTGGTGTTGTGGGGTGGAACCCTCTGTAGACACCTATTAAGTCCATTTGTATACAGGTTTGGTTAAGTTCTGATATTTATTTGATTTTTGTCTGGTTGATTTATCTGTGACAACAGAATGCTAATGTTCCCCATTACAATTGTGTTACATCTTATTTGATACTTTGTGTACATTAAAATTTGACTTTTTTCTTCTTTCCTTTCAACCCCACTTCCCTTCCTTATTTA